AAGTTTTGCTGCAGCAGTAGTAGTAGTAGCAGCGGCAGCAGCGGCAGCAGCAGCAACAGCGGAGCAAGCAGCCCCGGACACGGCCTGACACACTGACCTCCTTAGGAAAAAGCTTTGCCTCATGCCTTGTGCTCTATCATCCTATGCACGTATACGTACGTAGGCATGTATAAAAGTATTGCAAACACGCGCGTGTTCGCACACACACACACACGCACAAGCACACATACACGTACGGTTGAGAGTTTTAGAAGTGCATATAGAGTTAGCGAGGCTTATATATAGGCTGCTGCTGTTGCTGCTGTGCACCGCTGCTTCTGTGAGCTCCGCTAATGCTAGCTCTGCTGCCGGCCGGCATTTTGTGCGATCGATTTTTGCGCTCTGAAACTTTTCTTTCTTCGCTTCGTTTGTATGTATATGAAAGCGTGAGCAGCAGTAGCAGTAGTGTAGCAACAACGGCGGCGACATTCTGGAACAATAGACAAAGCCCCGCGACTATACGGTAGCAGCTCGATCCTATTTTTCAATATATCTATACATCGTATAGTGCACGCGCGGAGCGGAGCGCAAGCGGGCAACGTTTCTGATGACATTGAATATTGAACGGCTGCAAATTAACGTCTACTACAGCAGCAGCAGCAGCAACTCGAGTCGCGCTATTTGCACATTTTATGAGAGGAGCTGCTCGTCGTCGCCGGCGACGAGTCGCTTACATATACATATTAAGACCTACTACACCGTGCACTTGGTGCGTTCGTTCGTGGCATAATAATGTAAGAAGCGTAGTAAACGTCTTGCAACGTACAGTAAGTAGTTGCACGCTATGATATATACGAGCGCAGTGCATATCTCTCTTCATCGATCGATCTCGCGGTAATTCGAGTTGGAGAAAAGGAAAAAAGAAAAAGGAAGAGTCGTGTGCGCGAGCTGTGCATATCTCGTGGAAGTCGCATTTGCTATGTAGCACTCACTTCCTGAAGCGATCGGTGCACATTACATTATATTTACAGCAGTACAGTAGCTTCGGCGGATGCGCTAGTCGTCGTCGTCGTCGTGTGGAACACAATATGCGTACAGCTAATACACGTACGAAGGAAAATTCGAGAGAAGCTCTCGGGAAAATTTTTTAGCGATCGCAAGGTAACAGCGGCAAGGCAAGGCAAACGCGCGAGGGGCCTCGGGATTCGCGAAAGTCGTGGCGAGCCTGCGACTAGAAGGTGCCTTGTTCTGCTGCTGGTGGTGGTGGAGGCGGTGGAGGAGGAGGGTACGTAACGGGAGGACTTACGACATAACATAATAGAGGCGACGGAGCGCGAATATTTAGAGGTTTCGACACCCGCGCCATGACTTTAAAGAGATTGTGTCTGCCGCATGTATTTATATATGTACGTATCGTAGTATAAAGCTATAAGGCATAACGTCTGTATTGAAAAATGTCCCGGCTCGAGAGAGAGAGAGAGAGAGAGAGATCGTTAATAAGCTCGCGCGCGAGCTGGTTAGGAGCTGATTTGGGTGATTTACGAAAAGGAAAAAAACGATACGGACCGTAATTATTACATACGCTCGCGCTCGCGCTTGTACATAGATTATATATTTCGCTGCGTCGTTATATAGTCCTCGAAATATATGTACAGCTATATATTACAAAGCGGCGCGGTGGTAGCTACACATACACATACACACACGACGTGGAGAGTGAAAGAGAGATTATTATTGCGCAAGAGAGTTTTTGCGCGACCAGGTGACTGCCGCTGCTACCGATTTTTCATACTTTCACGCGTACATAGAGTTGTACACGAGCTACGTGTATACTCCCCCACTCGCTGTATACGCGGCGCGCGGGGCAGAGATCGGTATTGCTCGCGGTAGAAAGTGCTATATGTGTGTATGCAGCACGGCTCCACGCAGGGATATGTGTGTGCAAGGAACACACGCGACTATACGTACAAAATACGTCATGCGCAGGCCGCTTTTTTCGAATGGCGCTCGGTGCACTCACTCTCGAGCGAGCTGCGGTTACACAAGATCTTTAACGCCTTGCACTAACGGCGCGCGCCCGATGCATCGCGGCTGTGCTAGTGTGTGAGCGAGTGTGTTATTGCATCGGTATCCGATGCACCTTCGCGTGAGCATGCATACTACGTGCTACATAATACCTAAGCGAAAAGACAAATGTATTCTATAATAAAACGGACGGGGCCGCGGGGAGAGAGCGTCGAGGCATTATATGCATCGATGGAAGGCGCATTACAGGCAGGCCTGTGTATGTGTGTGCTTTAAAAGCGCGTGTAGGCATTATAACGAGCGGCTGCAGCGACGTTTTATGTATTCAATCGCGCGCTATACGCGTCCAGCAGCAACACCCAAAGCCGGTTGTCCTCCACTCTATCTCTCTCACTCTCTTGTGTGCGCGCTTGTAACAGCACACATTTAGTTCTAGTTTTCGCTCTCTCTCGCTCACTCACTCTCTTGCCATATACTCTCACTTTTGCACTCACACCAACGAGAGAGCGAACGAGAGAGAGAGAGAGAGAGAGATACGTAGACAGACGTCGAGATATAAAGGCCTGACCTACGCGCTTGCAGCACTGCAGCTGTATAGAGCAGCAGCAGCAGCAGCCACCGCCGCCACCGCGCGCGCGCGCGCGATCTCTGTGTGGATGACCTACTTTAACAAAAGCGCAGCACTACTACTACTAATACTACCACACCACAGGCCGTGCAGCAGCAGCATGCGGAGAGTAGAGCGCAAATCGACGAAAGAGCCACTGAGTCGTAGAGCTAGGCTGTAGTGCATAAGTGCACAGAACACAGCCGAGAGAAAGAAAGAGTTATTATATGCACATACAGGCGCACACATCCATTCGGGATAGTTGTAAACTTTTGCGGAGAGCCGTGCAGCGCGGAACAGCAGCGGCGACGACGATGCGGCTACTTTAACGTACTCGCAAGCCTATATTTCTAGGCTCTCTCTCTCTCCTCCTTGTTCTATGGTCGCAGTAATATTAGCTGTATATGAACCATTAGCGCTCCCACGGAATATATACTTATAATATCGAGTCGAGCCTCGATCTCTCTCTCTCTCTCTCTCTCTCTCTGTGCCCCGCGTGCCCCTCGCGCGTAGCAAATCCATGTGTATGTGTTTGTGTGAGTGTCTGTACGGCCTCGCTGCAGTTGCTCTCCGTGTGTCTTGGCTCTTTGTCTCTCGCTCGCTCCGTTCGCAATGTACTGAAAATGCAACTGGAGCTTAGAGAGTCTTTGCTGCAGCGCACTATAATCTACCATTATTATTTGTCTCTCTGTCTTGTGAGAGCAGCAGCGCCAGTTGCGAAAAACCCGCGATCGTTGTGCTTTTTTCCCTCCCGTTTCGTCGTCGTCGAATTCTTTCTTTCTCTCTCTTGCCTGCGCGTGCTTGAGCCAGCATAGTACCTCGTGTCATGCGACCGCACCCGAGCGCAACGCACACACGGGGCAACCTTGCATCGAGCGCGAGAGAGCATCGCATGCGTATAAAAATGCGCCCGCATATGCACATATCTCACTGCGCCGAGTTCCAAATCGAGGCGAAATTTCGCGCTTACGCAATTCAAAGAGCTGTGACATGCGCGCGCGCTGTGTACCTACTGTATAATATATGTCACTTGCACGGCGCGTCGCGAGCGCTCCAATTGCAATGACACATTTTTTTTTAAAGCCGATAACGCGTTATATTGCTCGTGTGCGAATGTCTCTGTCGCCTCTGCGAGCTTTCGAAGAGAATAGCCGGCCGGTACGTCGTAATATAAAAGCTCGCGTTCTCTCGAGTCCACCGGCACGATTTGTGCGTGTGCGAGTGTGCGTATATGCGTTCTCTCGTTTCTATCTTTGGCATCGCGTACAAAAGCTCGCTTGCTCGCTCGCATCCCTCTCGCCTACATATACTCTTACTACTACAGAGCTTTCGGTGTATACACGGTGCATTGCTCAATCCGCTCATCCGACGTGAAAATCCAAGCCACAGCGGGCAGTTGGTGTGTGTAGTTTGATTGGCCAATAAAAAAGTATGCGAAAAAAAGCTCGTCATTTTTTATTCGTCGACGTCGACCAAATTATGTCATTCGGCGATGCCGATTCGCGGCACACGCATACATTTTTATAATACACGCACACGGGGAATCGGTACGATAAATACGCGAATTCACGTAGCGCACAAGTAGAGAAAGAAAGAGAGAGAGATACGTGCATTATAGTATGCCTGCGCGAGCGAGCTCGACCGAACGCGCCTGCCTCTCTGCCTCTCTCGCACAATGGAAGAAAATGGGCCAAGCGCGCGAACGAGGTCAGGAAAATTTAATTTTCACGATTAGCACATAGCTTGCTTGTGTGTGGCTGCACACACATACAGACTCGCACACACACACCTAAACACAAACGCGTACATAAGCGAGCTGTTGCAGAGAGAGATCTCTCTGTGCGTGTGCGGGCAGCGCATGCGCCCGCCGGTTCCGACGTAGTCGACGTCGTTGTGCAGAATCGGAGGTCTCTCTCTCTCTCCTCTCTCGCTTAGGTATATGCTACTCCGAGAGTTGGCTTTTGCCAACGCGCAGACGAAAGAGAGAGGGAATTGCCGGCGCATGCAGTAGCAGCAGCAGCTGCGAGTGCAATTCTGTTCGGCTAAGGTGTATCAAGGATATATGACTTCTTGTCAGGGACACACGCTCGCGCACACACTCGCACGCGTTTGTTTTATGCATGTATGTATAACTATATAGCTGACGCTGACATTATCTTTCTCTCTGCTTGCGGCGCGTGCAGCAGCAATGCGCAATGTCGTCAAAGCTCGGGGGCTCTCTCTCTCTCTATATGAGCGCGATCGAAGCGGCGAGTTGACTTTGAAAATCGACGTTAGGCGACAAAGGAGAGATAAAGAAGGTTTAATGAGAATTCGACATGATTAAAAGAGATAATGGAAATTTTTGATTTTGAGGAAAAGAAGCTTAAGCTCTCTTTGCTCGACTCACCTCTTGGCCGTTGCTGGCCGGGGCCACGGTGATTTTGACGTCGACCTCGTCGTGCTGCTGTCGGTGCTGGGTGACCTCGGCCTGTATCTCTCTGCCGTTATAGGTGAGAAAGACCTTCTGGCCGGGCACGAGCTTGGCGTCGATCACGCTGCCGAAGCCCGGCCCGATGAGGTCGCGATCGAAGTACTCGCACTTGGAGTCCGGGGCGCCCACCACCGGGTCGAAGCGCACCGAGTAGCGCGTCGACGAGGTGATCGACAGGCCACCGGCCGCGTCGCTGTTGTAATTCGGCGTATTGACGGCGCTGATCGCGCCCGAGTAATACTTGCCGTCGCGGCCCGGCGCGCAGACCCTCGTGCCGATTATGCTGCGCTTGGCCAATCTCTTGCCGGTCGACATGATGTGCTGCTGCTGCTGAAGCTGCATCAATTTGTTGTTCTCGTTGTTATTGTTGTTGTTGTTATTGTTGTTGTTGTTGTTGTTGATGCAACGACGTCGACGTCGCCGCACTATGACCGGCACCGTACCGGTACCAGCACCACTCGCAGCATTAACAACGACTGCACCAGCGGCCGCAGCTTGTTGCTGTCCTGCACTGCTGCTGCTGGCCGTCGCGCTGCTGCTACTACTCACTTGTGACGACGCCAGTGTGCGTTTGGTTCTTTTCCCTTTTTAATTTTTATCTCTTTGCAATGATTGCAAACGAGCACACACTGCACAATTCACACGAGTTATTATAACACACTTATTTATTGCACTTGATTTACGTAATTCTAATCAAATATTGCACTTTTTCGTTTCTAATTTAAATTTCCACAGTTCCGGCTTGCACGAATATCAGCACTGCAAGCACAGTCTTTTTTTTTATTCAACACACTCGAGCTTTTCTCTTCTCTCTACTTTAATATTGCACGATTATATTGCACTCAGAGTCCCAGTCGGCGGGTTTTCTTAGTCGACTTAATATTCAATAGGCGTCTCCTCTGGACCGATCGAGCAACGTCAAATTTCAAGCTAGAATAATCGGACATGGTATATGACGCGATCGGGTCTCGCTGTTGCGATGATGCATAAATCGGAGACTCACACGTATAAACATACGCGCTGCACAGCGGAGAGAGAGAGGAGCACAAACAACAACAACAGCCACTCTAAAGCCGCTGCTGTGCTGCTGCTACTCTTGCCGAAATTCGCGAGTCGAATGTATCTGATTATTATAATTATTACGGAGAACGAGGGATTAAAAGAGAGCGAGCGAGAAAAAGAAAGCGCTGTCAGACGACAGAGCAGTCTGTATGTTGGTAAACAGGAGGGCTACTGCTGCGAATCACATGTATGCACAGTCAAAACTCCGAAAAAAAAACACAACGGCGCACACACTTTAAATACACACCTGCGATACAGAGAGTGCACTGGCATATGTACGCATTAATTTGTGTGTACTTGTGTGCAGATGCGAGCGTGTATTGTGTCTGTGTGTAGACGAATGCAAATATATAGATGTATAAATGCGCTATCTATATACGTGATGTTATATTGTATATGTATAATATATATGGTATATACGTCGGGAGCGCGCGGGCGATGCACAGCTGACAACGTATCGGGAGGTACTGACTTGTAAGGAACAAGCGGAGTATATCGTCGCTCTCCGCACGATTCGCGTATATACGCGGAGCAGCAGCAGCAGCAGCAGTTTTCTCTCTCCTCGATCGCTCTCCGCGCTCACACAGACACATACGCACGGACGGGGCGCTCGCACGCACACAGTTAGCCTCCACTCGCGTAGATACAGGCAGCTCACGGCTACACAGACACACGGGCGCGGAGTGGCGAATCGATGCGCATGCCCCCTTCGGAGCCGGCCGGGTACCTCGGAACAGCTGATAGATAACAACAAAGCCACGTGACCCAACCCCTACCACGAGCCCATTGGCTCGTAGCTATGACCTACTTACTCCCATTGGATGGCAAGCCGAGGAAACGAGGCGCTGCGACTATGAGTCGCTACGGTAGCGGCGGCGAGTCGCAGCGCCGCGAAAACCCCCTCGCACCGATACGAGTACACACTACACACATACACAAGCTAATGGCTCGAGGCACCCACCAGCGTCAACGTGTATACACACACACACACACACAGATACGTACACACCCACAAGGCACGATATGCACATTTAACGACTGCCTCCCCTCCATTAGACACCCGCACGGCTCAAACTAACTCTCTGCGCACGTGTGGGTACGTGTGTGTGTGAGAATACCCTACCTCTCCAACTGCTCCTCCATCCTACCTTTGCGCGGAGGAGAATCGTTCCCCCTTAAGCGCATTCGACTGCGAGTCGTCGCAGTTTGCAGCTGTGTGTGCAATTCGTGCACCTATACACGTATTATATCTATGTATGTGAGCTGCTCGCGCACGTGCTGCGACTGTGTGAGTGCAGCGGAGCACGCGAGCCTTGCTTGTGTATATATGTACGTACACCGGCCGGCGGCACGCGCATATACTCCTACTACCTATACATAACGTGTGCATTTGTATACATCACGCATACATGCACACACTCTGCTGCGCTCGTCCCGAGTATAGCACTGAGCAATGTCAAAATCTCCTCTCCTTGTAAAAGTATTCGTCTCTCTCTGCGTGTGTCTGTTTGTGTGTGTGTGTGTGTGTTTGCATGTATTGCAAACGTGTCTCTCTTTCTCGCTTTTTCTCCTTTAACGAAGCCAGAAAACCTTTCTCTCTCCCTCCCCCGTTGGTCGGTTTCGAAAATTTTCCATTTATTACGCCGGTAATTTTTTTTCTTTTATTCCTCGCTTCTTCCTCTGGTTTTTTTCTTTGTTTCAATTAGAAAACATTTCGATATATCGTGCGCTCGTTATTATATACACGAGCGCAAGCTTATCGGACACATGCAGGCACGAAGCACAGCGTATCTTGGCCGAAAAATGGCGAGTCGGGGTATTTTCCCAGTTATATCATCCTACCGGTACATAAGTTATTAATTAAAAACATATATACAGCCGATGACGTCACGAAAATACTTAAAATCACCGGTACATAACACGGAATCGGAATATAATGTACGTGCAGCAGCGCCTACGTCACGCAGACTTTTGAAACGTTCCTTTGCGCGACAAAAAGAAGAGATAAAGACAAGAGCGAAACTCGCTCTAGCACATTATGTATAGTTTTTAAAGAAGAAACGTCGAGTCGCCATGACATTTGCGAAATGCACGCGGTGCGCTGCTGCTGCTACGTCGCAGTATATATACGCGCATATGCTTCGGAGTCGCAAATTTTTAAAGAGCTCCAGCTCGTATTATGTATTTGTGTGTGCGTGTATGTATACAGACATAGAAACACGAAGAGCAGCGGTGTCTGTGTATACATACACGTTCTCGGCGTCATCATCATCAGCTGCTGGTTATGTTTGTAAACAGTGCGCGGCGGCGCGCAGTGCAGCACACGGTGTAGCTGAGCGGCAGCGGCGTGCCTCCCCCCTCCCGTGCGCCATTACATACACACACACACACGCACACATACACAGAGACAGACACATGCTCCACCAGAGAGAGAGAGAGAGAGATATAGCACGCACAACTCGCTTACACGCTTACATGCTACAGCACGACTCCATATGTTACAGCTGCCCGGGAGAGAGAGAGAGAGAGAGAGAGCAAACGTTTGAATTGCGAATCGCTGGATAATAACACCAGAAGCCGTGACGTCTAAAACGACGTGCATACGACTTTGTTGTTGTTGTCAAAATTTAATGTAGGTTCACGCATCTCGTGTATACTACGCGCGGCAATCAGTAGCTCTTTAAAAGAATTGAGCCGTGCCCTTTAAATTTTTAAATATCCCGTCGCGTAGCTGCGCGTCTTTATCTATTCCCTCTCTTTCTTTCTCTCTTGCATCTAGTGCTACTAGTGCATACTGCATATAGGCAGGCGCGCAGCCAGAGGCAGTCGCGCGACGTATTAACGAGAGAACTCGATGTCGAGATTTATCGCTGCGTCGCTATTATACGCCGCGCATTTATATAGGTAGCAGTTGGCTACACACATACACTTTCATCCTATTTATAACGGTAAATCCGTGCATAATAATCTCTCCTCTCTCTCATTATTTTTCTAACGCGCAATTTCCTTTGTTTTGTACGTATATAGTATAGGTAGTAGCTTGGCTCTGTGTATATACATCCCATCCACCGCTACTTCTGCTGCTTCCATGTATATATAGTAACTGCAGTGCTCTCTCTCTCTCTCTCTCTATCTCTCTCTTTTTCTCTCTCATCGCCGCGGCAGGGCAGCAGCGGCGGTGGTGGCGGCGGATAGAAGAAAGAGAGTCGCGAAAGCGGTATTATATAGCGGCGTCAGCTGTGTGTGCAGTTGTTACATGCACCGCTACCACTACTACTCCGAGCCAAAGGTACGGCCCGTGAGCTATTGCCGCAGAGAGCCGCTGCTTAGCTGCTCTTACTCTACGTTTGTGTACTACTCTATGTGTATGTGTGTGTGCACTCACACGTACTTTTAACATAGCTTGGGTGACGAAAGCGCGACGACGACGATGCTAGTCCGCGATATATTCGCTCTACGTCGTAGCTGCTGCTGCTGCCTGCGAGTTAAAGGGAAAGGCGCATGCGCCGTCGCACGTATAAGCCGCTCTCCCTCTCCCCCTTTTTTTTAGCAATATACGTGTGTGTGTGTGTGTGTGCTCTCTGCCTGCGTTGTGTGTGCTGCTAGGCCAAGTAAAGCAAGCCAAGTTAACTCGCGACTTTTTCTCGCTCCCCGCGCGTTCATATACGTTGTTCGCTTTAAAAATCAACAATCTCACTCTCTTCCATTGGTATATCCCACATGCACATACGCAAGGATCGTCGTTTCTCTTGTGTGAATCTATCGGACTCTCAAGGACTGCGGGGAGAATCTCTCGTTTTTACCTGTCGATCCCCTCACGAATCGTGGGCCAATTGTTGCCTTGGAGGGGAAAAAATTACTCGCTAGGGTGGAGCGAAAAATTCATTTTTTTGAAAAGCGGAGGATCTTACACCTCCACAATTCAAAAAAAATATTTTTTCAAATGGCATGACAATTAGAAACACACTTCAATCCGTAAAAAAAGTCAGGAAAAATATTTTTTTAATTTTTAAAATTATGGGTTACAGATATATCGTTTTGTTGAAAAAGGAGACAATAAAATTAATAAAAATGACTTAGACAATCGCTTAAAGTACGTCTGAAAAATTTTTAAATGTGAAATATGAAACCGTGACGCCAAAAGTTATGTTTTGCATGATATCCTTTCAAAGTTTTATCGTGTAAAAAAAATTAGGAAAATCTTTACACGCATGTATGCATAAAAAATAGTATAAAAAGGGAAAATTCTGAAAAATTGACGAAAAACAGCTGTATCTGTCAGGTTAGAGTGGAAATACTCATTTGCCAGGAATCAGTATCCTCGAGCTTTCTTTTTATGCTGAATAGCTTGGAACTGAATAAATGAAAAGCTTTGGTAATTATATTACAAAGCGATTTTCAAAAATACGCATTTTTCACTCCAGTCTATTGCTCACGTCTATACGCCTAACGCGGAGTGTCCAAATCGAATAAAATGAAATGAAGTTTCAGGCACGCCTGATCGGAAAATGTCGCCCAAACGTTAAAATTACACCCGCTTTCCACAATGATGAGTGTGTGAGTATGGACTCAACTCTCATTCGGGCCAGAGACAGACACCTCCCGCTCTCTTTCTATCTCTCTTGTACATGCTTATACACATACACACATGCTGCGATCGACACTTTTTCGTAGGCACGTATATAGCAAGTTCAAAATAATACTTCATTCTTGGCATGGCATGGCATGGCGCACCGATATATTGGTCACACCGATACTTTTCTACATACTTGAAAAAAAAAAAAAAATTTACTCCTAGACCCGATTACGCGAATATGTATGTCGATCGGACGATCGTTGTGTATATAGCGCAAACACTACTACTGCGCGCGAGTGTCATTGAAAAACCAGTGTGAAAGCTATATTGTACAGGTATGGTCAAAGAATCTCGATCGAACTGAATTACAGGTCACTGAAAATATTCAGCATATGCTGCGTATGCACGCATGGGATGAAAAAAAGGACGAGAAAAAAAAAGACACGAAGAATCGCGATGAAACAAACCTGTATGTATTGCGAACGAAAACTACACCGCATCGTGGATGTGCCGCGCGCGCAAGCGACGAGCAATTTTTGCAGGGGGTATACAATATGATACTCGCGCGCGCGCGCGTCACGTGCATATCGTGCAATAAAATATTGTTTCGATATCGCCTTCGTCGAGTATTTGGGTTACAAAATAATTTCAGCCTGGCTTATCAAACCTCACAAATTGTTTACAAAATAATACATTGTTCGGGCCGCGAAGAGAGAGAATAGATTGCCTTCGTTAGCATTGCTATTGAACGCAAGATCGAAATATAATAGGGCAATTACTGGTTGAGAAACAAATCCGCGCGCGGCAGTTCATTTGTGTGTTTATTTGGAAAAACCAGAGACCAACAAAAACGTTCACTGCTCGCGCGGCCGTATATCTAAGCAAGAACAAAAAAAAACGGTACAAAAA